TCCCCCGGCTCCCCCGGCCCCCCCAGCGCGGCTCCTGACAGACCCCATCCAACACAACCCCCAGGGCTGAGCCCGATATCCAGCATTAATATTTGAAGAAGCTAATTACAAGGCACGTGCGAGGAATGCTAATTGGGACGGGGTGCGGGGGGGGGAGCTGCCTTTTCTCCCCGGCTCTCAGAAACGCCCCACAAGCCCCCGGCCCTGCAGCCCCTGCCAGAGAGCCGTTTGTGAGGCTCTGACAGTGGGTTAATTAGCGAGAAGCTGCTCGTCAATTAAAGGTGGGTGCCTTGATAAGGAGGAAGTTAAGAGATGTAGGTGAGGGGAAGAGCCTCAGGCTGTGCCCCAACTGGGGCAGGTGGGCACCCCAGCGTGGGTCAGCCCTTCTGATGGGTGCATGGACCTGTATCGTGGGGGGTCCTTGGGGCTGCCCCCGCCAGACCCACGCGAGCAGGACCCCGCTGCCCGCGTACAGGTTACTGTCTCTGGAAGATGAAGAGGCAACTGGCTCTGACACATCCAATTTATTACCGGATCGTGGCTGCCGGTGAGCCGAGCAAACCCAGTTGCTCTCCGCACGGCGGGGAGGGGTTTGTCACCAAGCTGCCGGGGACGGTTGGGACGTGGGAGGACTTGGGCAGGGGAGGGAGGCTGGCGGCAGGACAGCCCCGTCCCCGCAGCGTGGGGCTAGATGAGCCCCCTCCCCGTGTCCGTGCTGCAGAATGCGTCACCTCTAACAGCAAAACAATGGGGGATTTGGGCTTGCCCCACAAAGGTGGGATCTGAGCCCCACGGGGGGGTTCAGGAGACACCCAGGGCCAGAGAAGTGGTGGTGGTAGTTCCTCCCGTGGCAAAAGAGGGGTGCTGAGCTCCTGCCTTCCCCCTGCTCCCTGCAGGGACGCAGAGCAGGAGGGAAGGGAAGCCCCGAGGTCCCTTTATTGCCGTGGGAGGGTCGGTGAGTCGCGTACCCAGGCCCAGGCACGACCAGCGCGGGGGTGAGGGCAGTGGGCACCACCAGAGCGGAGAAACCACACGGTCCCAGCCGGCCCCGGCGCTTCCGATCACATTATGGGTGCAGGGCTGGGACACATCATGCTCTGGGGCTGGCTGGAAGCTGGGTTTGGGCACAGCCAGCCTGGGACAGCGTCGGGGCTTTCCACCGGCTGCAACACGGCAGCGATACCCTCCTCCTCCGAGGAAGCCATCTTCTCAACCGGCTCATCTGGGTTTGGTCTGCTGGTGGTTGTTAGCCAGGGAGGGCGGCTGGGGCCTCGTCCCTGTCGGAGGACGGACGCATACCCCGGGCCGGACAGGTGAAGACGCTGGGACTCCAGATGGCCGGGAAACCCCGCTGGGCCCGACGGCTGTGACGCCAGCTCTGCGCTGGGGCTCTGGAGAGCAGCTGCTGGGAGGGGGGGAACAGCCCGTGATCCCTGCTCTGGGCTGGCTCGGTCGCTCATCAGTCACTCGCGCTGTCCTCGCTGTCCGAATACGCCCCCAACAAGCCGAGAGAGGATGTGGTGCCCGTTGCTGTGGGAAACGAGCCTGGAAGCCGAGCAAGAGAGCAAACGCCATCAGGTAGGGCCCTCCCCATTGCCAGCAAACCCCGCCGGCTCGGTGCAACCAGCCGCGCGGAAAACACAAGCCTGCCTCGCCGCTCCGGCTGCTCACAGCTGGAGACGAGGCACCCGGAGCCAGAGCCCGAGCGATGCCACCTCCCCCCGGCCTGAATCTCGATGAGGACAGCAAGGTTAAACCAGGCGGACAAGGAGACCCCGCACCCCCTCAGCTGGAGCCTCCCGCTTCCGCCTTGCGGCAACGGGAGGAAGCGGCAAGGTTGGCCCAAGGTCTGCAAAACCCACTTCTCCCTCCGGGAGATTTCAGCCACTGGAAAGGAAGAGAGGAGCCAGCTCTCGGCTTTGACCACGCGACCTGCCAGCTGCAAGCGCGAGGCAGCGTCGCGGGCAGAGAGCCCCGTGCCAGCTCAGAGCCGAGTCCTTGAAAGACGGGCAGCTCCTCCAGCATAATTTGGCTGAACAGACCCTGCCAGCAGCCAGGAGCAGGTGGCTGGGGAAAGCGTATCAAAAATGGGGTAACCACAAGAGCTGTCCTTCCCCAGGGATCCCCTGAGGGCAGAGGGACTTACTAAGCCAAAGGCTTAGGACCAATCGGCCCAGGATCAATCAATTCATCAGCTCCTTCTCCAAATCCTCTGCCTTCCTGGGGCAGTGAACTATGAGGTGCTGGGAAGCCTTTCTGCTTGTTTTCACCACTTCGTTAAAGCTTCCAAATTCCGACAGTTTGGCAGGTTTTATAATCAGGCCCCAAACCAAAGCAATTTTCTTGCTTTTCCATTCATATCTCGCTGTTGTGATGGTTCCCAGCGTCGTATCTAGGCGCTGAGATACTGTTTTGAAGCTTCTGGCCCTGACAGGCTGTCTCCAAGGCCTTGGCTTACCGCCCAGGGCCAGGAAGGAACTTCTCCTCCATCAGGACATCTCCCGGAAAGAGGGACAACCTCCTGTTCTTACACCGTCACGGCCCCATCTGTCCCACAACAAGGACTTGACCCGAGAGCATTCAGGCTCTGAAGACAGAGCTAAACGCCACTTGGGTGCCGCCAGACTCCTCCCTGATGGCCCAGCTCAGGCCACCCCATCCCCCACGTGAGCGGTTACCGGCGTCGGTCGCGGTGCCTTGGTTCTCTGTCCCATTAGCCACGGCAGGACCCGGCTTCTGCTTCCTCACTGTGACCAGCCCGGCCAGCTGGGGCTTGGCGTTCAATTTGCCCACGCTCCGCTCCCAGCTCTCAGTCTTCAGCTTCTTACTCTGGGGCTGAGGGTCCTGCAGAGTAGAGCAGGGGCGTTAGCGTGCTCTGGCCTCGGAGGGGAGGCAGAGGGATGGGGGAGAAGGAGGAGTGGTAAAAACAGCAGCACAAAGCACAAGAGACGCGAGGCTAGCTGCTCGGAGCAGCCAAGGGGGATATTCTCCCCCGGCAGTGACTGGCACAAGCTAGACAAACAACAGGGATATGGATCTAAACGGCTGCAAAAACAGCCCTTGGAGACAAATGTCCCACTGCCTGCGACAGTTAAATCCAGCCTTGCTGGGATGACGAGGAGCCAGATGCATGCCACAGGGCTGCGCAACCTCTGCCGGACGGGACCGTGTGCCTGCAGGTGGTCCGGCCACTGAACCAAACTCCCCCGGGCACGAGGATTAGTGCCGGGCCAGGGAACATCGCTCAGATTAACCCCAGCCCGGCTTAGAGACACGGCAGCTTTGATTCATCCAACCGGACAGAGGTCCCCGCAGACATGGATCGACATCGGAGAGCAGCAGTGCAGGGGCCTGTCTGCGGGGATAATCCCTCCCTTGCAAGCCGGGCGCTGAAAGCTCTTTTGTTCTGCACGTCTCCAACGCGGACAAAACAGAACCATAGGAGAGGCTGTCCCAGGCAGCGGTTTCATTGCTGTAATTTTCAGAGTGCTGAAATCGTGCCTGAAGTACGACCAAGGCATAGCCGAGCCCGTCCTTTTCGAGCTGAAAGGGAAGCAACGTCCTGAGCCAGGACGGGGGCAGCTCCCTCCCAGCCTCTGTCAGCAGACGCGGCCTAAAATCACCAACTGATCCCTGTCTCCTTTCAGCTCAGCGCGCAGGGACACGGGCTTTCTAAGCTGCTCATGCGCGACAGGCATTAGGGCTCCAGCATCGCAGGGACAGAAGAGACAACGCGCACCCGGACAGCGCGGAGTTGGGCTGGGGGGGG